TTGCTCAGTTAGCTGCTTTTAATTTTGACAACAAATGTGCAGATGCCTTAAGTCGGTATCCTAAACATTTCCCTGCAGCAGAAGTGGAACATGTAATGTATGCAACACTCCACACTACAAGTTTCAACAAAGCTGTTCCTTACCAAGCGGAGGTGAATCGAGGAACTTGTAACATTCCTTCAAACATGGCTCCTCCTGGAATGTTCCCGTCTTTGTCTCCAAGTCAAATGACAGCTTTGTAGAGGTCAAACCCTGTCCCTAAATATGTGTGGAAACGTTGGGATCAAGGTTTGAACCTTAAAGATGTAGTTGGAAGTTCCAATTCCACCAGAAGTTAGACGTTGGTTGTGGCAGTGGTCTAAGATTGTTAAGAAGGATGGTGCACTCTGTAGGCATGTACATGACCCTATACATGGTGAAATCGTTCAATATTTGTTACCAGAATGTCTCCGATTACAATTTTTAGAAGGAGCCCATGGCGGGTCGGGCCATCAAGGGGTCCCTAGGACCTTTTCCATTCTTAGAAGGCGTGTTTATTGGCCGAGAATGGCAACGTCAGTGCACAGACATGTTAGTCGTTTTACACCGTGTATAATGGCAAAGGCTTCCCAACCACGCATTACAACACCCATGAGGCATATGATAGCTTTTCGGCCATTAGAGGTAGTAGCAATAGACTTTGTCAAGATTGATAGAGGAAGTGGTGGTGTAGAAGATGTGTTTGGTCATTACTGACGTGTACACTAAATTCACTCAAGCAGTGGCATGTAGAGACCAACATGCTGTGACTGGAGCCAAGGTACTTACAGACCTTTGGTTTACAAGTCCTACTAGAATACATAGCGATCAAGGCCGAACTTTTGAGGGAGAAGTGATCAAGGAGCTTTGCAAGTTGTGGAATCAAGAAAACTCACACTTCTCCATATCATCCTGAAGGAAACGCTCAAGCTGAGCGATTTAATCGTACTCTATTTGGCTTGATCCACAGGTGAGACATAAATGGCCATACTTGTTATCTCATTTGGTGTTCATGTACAACACAACACCTCACTGCACGACTGGAATAGCTCCATATACTTTAAAGAGAAGGTTGAGTTCTGGGAAGAGGTGAAAAGTAATTTGTGAGCGTTATCATTCTTATTATGCAAGTGTGGAAGAACATTAGATAAGACATGTTCCCTGAAAAGCATGGCTCTTAAAATGCCTTCATATTCTAAATATGTCATGTAACATCGTAAAAATCCGGGTAGGATTTGTACCCCATGTGTTCGTGTAGTCCCATATACATCTTTCTGTGTACAGTGTTTGTAACTTTACTAAGACTTGGCCAAATTTCTTATCATTTTGATGATTCCAGAACCTTGCAATACACACACATTCTTATATGCTAGATGATCAACCTTTTCTGGTCGATTCCACACTGTTTCTTCCACAATGCAATCGCATGACCAGAACTCAACTTCATCTTTAATGTTTGGTCGAGAACCACTCATCCCTCTTGACCGAATTTGGGGTCGTACATATTGTAATTGGAATCAGGAATTTGTAAAGCAACAATCTGAGCTCCTAGAGCGAACTTATCAGCTAGACCAAGACAGAGTCAAGCAGTTCGCTCAACGTAATAAAGTGCTGTACGATGATAAGGTTCCATCTTTTGCTATTAAAGGCCATTCCTATGGGTACCCAAGTACTTTTGAAAAGATGTGCATTTCCAGGCAGGCATAAGATTAAAGATGTCTATGAGAGAGACGAGTATGTTGTTGTATAACATAATGAAGAATATGATGTTTATACTACTAGGCCTGTGAGAGGCGGTTAGGAAAGGGTGGTTCACCGTGGATTGTTACGAATTTCCCCAGTATTGCAAAACAATGACAGAGGCATAGGAGGTAATGATCTTAAGAACAAATGATCCAAATTCTCCAGCCTATGTTGGTAAAAAAAAAAAAAGTAGGGGAGATGGATGATTCAAACTCAGATGAGGTGTTGATTAGGGGGTACAGGCAAGAAATTGAAGGGCCAAGTGTTGGTAATGAACAAGTAGGGGAGATTCCTCATATTTCACCCATGCCTGTAATTCATTCGCCTCCTACCCCCGTGCCTCGGCTGAGTGCGCGTAGAACACGGTTTAAGCATCGGAATCCACTTTGACTTCCACAGTCTAGCATTTGATGTTATTAATTGACAAACTACATGTACATGCACTCCAAACAATAAGTTTAGATGATGTTTTACTCTGTGCTTGAGATGTAAACTTTTGCTATGATACATGTTATATCATAGTTTGTAAGAAAATAGATATGTGTATGCAATATTTTGTGTGTATCTGGAGAAATGACATTACATAAAAGTTTAAAAATTCCACACTGTTTGTGTTTTAATCGAGCATTAAAAATGTCATGGGTCAAACGATTCTTATCACGAAAATAACGGGAAATGGAAGTGTTTTTTTCAAACAGTCCCGTCGTTACATTGGCGAGAACCTTTTTTTTATATTAAGGAACGTGTGCCAGAATCATCTATCCGCCTTTTTGTAATGATGTTTTAATTTCGTGGTCATCTTACAGATACTACAACCTGTTAAGTTTAAGGAAATATTGTCTCAACCTCTGTGGTTCAACTCTCACATTTTAGTTGATGGAAAACCATTATGTCAAAAAATTGTTTAATTCATCCTTGATTAACATAGCTGATGTCCTTACACGAGACGCACATTTTAAAACTTTTGAAGGTATTGTTCAGAAATATGGTTATGTACCTATAATACGCTTATACCTGCTATCCCAAATGAATGTAAAAGCAAAATAAGGAGCCAATCTATAGAATAAAAAAAATTACTTAAGTGAACCACATGATGATCGATTAGATAATTCCTAAAACACAAACAAGTTTATAAATTATGTTACTCTACTTTTATACGTAGTTATACTATGGTTTCGTCAGAAACGGATCAACAACTCAAATGGGAAAATGATCAGTCACTACAATTATCAGATGATGAAATATGAAGGTCTTGTTTTAATTTGATATACAGGGTGAGTCAGAAAGAATGTCCCACTTTTTAAAAGTTGTATTGTTTGAAGTATGAACATTTAATTAGGGGTTTAATGATATGTCTTGATAGAGTTATCCTCCCAGTACATTTAGGTACCATTTTCATTTGAATCCTTTCACGCATGACTGAACATCAGACAATCTTTACAAGACTGCCAGATTTCACTTGCGCCAACTTACTGGGTGATGAATAAAACAGTGCATTGAACAAAGACAGGCAGACAAACACACCACACACTCACGCACACACACACATACACGCACACACGCACACACACACGCATGCGCACAAACACACACACACGCACACATACACAAACACACGCACTTGCACACATACGCACACGCACACGCACATATGCACACACTCACCCACAAATACCGCAAACGTCGGTTAATAAAAAAAACACAAACAATTTTGGTATTTTTTGAGGTATTTTATTATGGTACAACAATGGCTGTTAAAGTACCTACGTATTGAGATAGCACATTGGATTCATGTGCACTTCATGATGACGATGATGATGAAGATGATGATGATTATGATTAAGATTAAGATGATGACAATGATGATGATATGGTGGTAGTGAATGTGTACTAAAGGGAAAGATTGTCAGGGAAATGCCACTTAAATATTCAGGGATCTTGATAAAAATCAATGCTTAATCAGAAAAGAAAAAAAGATAACAAATTCTGAGACATTTGTAACCTTGTGTGTTGTTTGTGTATGTGTGTGTGTGTGAGTGTGTGTTTGTGTGTCTGTCTGCCTGTCTTTGTTCAATGCACTGTTTTATTCATCACCCAGTAAGTTGGCGCAAGTGAAATCTGGCAGTCTTGTAAAGATTGTCTAATGTTCAGTCATGCGTGAACGGATTTAAATGAAAATGGTACCTAAATGTACTGGGAGGATAACTCTATCAAGACATATCATTAAATTCCTAATTAAATATTCATACTTTAAACAATACAACTTTTAAAAAGTGGGACATTCTTTCTGACTCACCCTGTATACATCATCAATAGAGAAAAAATTAAGACATTTTCAATTCAAATTTCTTGTTGTATAAAATTGGAATTTTTAATCACAATATATGTAAATTTTGTAACGAACAAGAACAAACAACAATTCATTTATTTTTTATATGCCTTTTTGTTTCAAGATTCTGAAAAAATCTGTATAGTTGGCAAATTTCTAAGAAGATGCTACTCATTAGATTATCACGTATTAAAATTTTGCTTTAGAACATTAGTAAAATAATACTTTTATCTGGTGAACACTACGATATTACATGTATATGGCAAATATTTAATCTGTTCATGAAAATGTCGACACATCGTTCCTTTATTTAAAGCCTTTCTATTTTCTTTAATACAATTACAAAAAAACAGAACGCATGATATCCTTTAAACTCAGCCGTTTTGAGTTTCATGAGAACAAATGGAATGGTATCTGTTCAGTATAATGAACTCTTACTGAATGTTTTATTATGAGATGTTCTATTTCACTCAATCATGTCTCTGTACTATTGAAGAGAAATATGTATTTATTTTGAGATTATCTTTTGTTAGAATGTGAATTGCAAATGAAATTTATTTAAAAGAAAGAAGATTTGTTTTGGGGGAACACACAGATACTAGAGAAGACAATAAATGATTGACAACATAGCTCAAGGGGATATTCGACGGATATTTCAATGCTAATTTTTCACACTACTCGCAGGATAGTGATGCAGTAATGTATGAATAGACCAATAAGTAATTATGAGTGTTTACATGATTGTGAAGAACTGATATCACAAGCCAGTTTAATGCGTGATCATAACATAAGTTGTACCTATCAGCCGTGTATTATATTTTGTATTGGGTATGTGTGTGTGCGTGTTGCATGCACATTTGAATGTTTGTGTTTCTAATGGCAAGTTTCTCTTATTTTTCAAATATCTCAGGTCAAAGAAAAATGCATGGACTCTGGAAGAGAACCTGACGGTCAAGGTATTATTGACTTTTGCATATATAACTTCAGCCATCTTTTTCGATGATCGTACGAAACTCAAGTAGTATATAATACGAGAAAAGGGTAGATTTATATTTAATTGTGATATTTGATATCGTTAAATGTTGAATTTATTGTTCGTGCGCATGAGTAATCAAATAACCCATACCTAAGCCCTACAGGATGCACACTTAAATGATGTTAAGCTGTTGACACTAATCAAAATGCAACGTAATGAAGTAAATGAATGGATAAAATAGATTAATAAACCAGAATAACACATAATAAAAACTAAGAATTCATGAAATATTCTGTAATTATCTACGATATTTGTAATCGCTTTGTAATGTGTAGAAGTGGGCTTTTGTCAGTTATGATTTATACAATTTTATTGCCTACGCTTTTCAAAAATTCCTCTAACACACTGCCTTCGGAAAAATGACATTTTTGGGCGAAATAGTAATCAAATTCACATTTGTAGAATAAAGAATGAAGAATTCATGGAATAATCTGTAATTATCTGCGATATTTGTTATCGCTATGTAATGTGTAGAAGTGGGCTTTTGTCAGTTATGATTTATAAAATCTTATTGCCTACGCTTTTCAAAAATTCCTCGAACACACTGCCTTCGGAAAGATGACATTTGTTGGCCAAATAGTAATTAAATTTACATTTGTGAGCGTGTGTTTTTCGTTCCCCCCCCCCCCCCCCCCCCCCACACGCACAACGCAGCTGAGAGTGCTCAACATTCCGAACCTTCTGAGCCCAGAACCTTCGAGGAAGTCCTCGCATCCATCGCAAAGAAAAATAAAGGTAAAACTAGACTTTAATTCGTCACTTTGACGAATTAGGTGATACGTATGCTCATGTGTAACATAATAAAGAACGTATTTTCACGATTTCATATTTCGTTTACTACTCCCATTATGGTCTATCCATGAGTCAAGTTTCAACTGTAGAGCAGAGGGAGACAGACCAAGAGAATAAGAGGGACGCAAGGCAAGAGAGAGAGAGAGAGAGAGAGAGGGAGAGGGTGAAAGAGAAGAGAGATAGATAGATGCAGAGACAGACCAAAAAAGGAGAGGGGCAGAACATGAGAGGAGAAGTAAAAGAGCAAGAGAGAGGAGAGAGATGCAATTGAGAACAATGCCTTCCAGATGACCATGATTGAAAGTGGTATAGCGCCCCCTTTAGGTATCCGATTGAGGATTGTTATATATGATAATTGACATGTCACCTATGATTGAATTTTTTTACTATGATAACGTCAATATAATGTTAGATAGTCTACATAAATCTCGTGGGAACTTGTCTCAGCTACAACATACTCAAAAATCAACAAAATCCAAGCAGAAATATTGGCGATATTGCTCAAAACACAGAAATGTAGAATCCAGATTTGAGAAAAAGTAATCTCCCATAGGGATTAAACGCAAAAAGTAATGGATTAAGTGAAAATAGGGTAATAATAAAGAAAATAGGGTTGTTTATTACATTATTTGCGATTCTACGTGTTTTAATACTCAAAGGAGATGGTACAGTGAAAGGTCAAAAAATAAAGTGAAGACAAATATTGTTGGAGACACCCGGACTCGAACCATGGATCTCGAGGATGGAAGTCAAGTGGGTTACCGTTATACAAAAACATTTCCCATAGCGATTACACGTAAACGGGAAATGGAATTCTGAAATCCTACTTTGCAAGTGAAATATGAGCATAATCCCGGCATCTGATCGAAAAATGAAATGCACACGTGTGATAGATTATTGTCTCAGCTACAACATATTCGAAGTTCAGCACAAACTAAGCTATGACAACGGAGATTTTGCTCGTGAAAGACAGGAGTGTAGAATCCAGTTTTGAGAAAAAGTCATGTCCCATAGAGAATACACGCAAAATGTGAAAAATTGACATGCCTCCTTAAATCGCAAAAATACGCCATGATGCCTTTGTCAAAATGAAAAATTGTGGTCACTATATTTGTAGAGAATTGTTTCAGCTAGAACATATCGAAATTTGAAAGAAAATCAATCAATATTTACAGAGATACAATCAATTTTCAAAAAATATGCTGACGTCATAACATGCAAATTAAATTTTTGAGTTTGGAGGACATTATGGTGACGTCATGAGTTAATTGAAGGTCAAATGAGACATGAAATCATATTTACGACTCATAATCTATCTAAATATGAAAAAATATTGGGAGTTGCTATCTATTCTGAAGGGTTACAAAGAATTTTGTATAGGCATGTTTTTGCTCATGTATTGTGGATAAAGATAACTCAGGTCCGCGCGCACTGTCAACTTTGACGGACGCTCATTGCGTTATTAAAAGATGAACAAGTTATCAAAATGCTTGGAAAAATGTGCCTAATAAGATGATAGAGAAAATTCGGCGATTCTATGTAGCAAAAGGCTAGTACGCGCAAAAAACGCGCGCGCATGCGCGTCAGCTCGATTTTTTGTCAAATGCTCCATATGGCCTGAAACGTATGCAAAAAAAATTTGGGATGATTTAGAGCATTTTAAATTTTTGCGCGCGCGTAAACGCGCGGACGAACGCGCACGCGCGCATTTGCGCACGTTTATTGGCCTGAAATTGACCGGACGGATATTGATCTTAATCGTGATAATTATGAATGAGAAATACTTTTCCGTTATGAAGATATGATCATTAGTTGATTTTCACAAAATGGCGCCTGGATGACGTCACGATGACTTTGAGTCTTTGAAAAGTCACGCAGTTCTAAGTTAGACTAAGATCTATCATCATTGAAAGATTCATAACAATGGCTTCATTCAGTCTTGAGATATCCTGCGAACAAATTCGAGGAAGAATAATAATAAACTAGATTTGTAATACTTGTTTGGAACAAGTATAGGTGGGCTGATCCAACAAAAAATTGAGACAAAATAAAGGGTACATTTGAGATAGCTTTTTGTCTCATCTACAACATACTCGAAGTTCAGCGTAAACGAAGCTAAAACGACGTAGATATTGCTCGCGAAAGACGGGAATGTAGAATAGAGTTTTGAGAAAAAGTCATATCCCATAGAGAATACACGCAAAATGTAAAAAATTTACATGCCTCCTTTAATCGCAAAAATACGCCATGCCTTTGTCAAAATGAAAAATAATAGCAATTACCTTTGTAGAGAATTGTCTCAGCTAGAACATATCAAAATTTGGAAGAAAATCGATAAATATTTACAGAGATTTTACAATCAATTTTCCATAAATATGCTGACGTCATAATATGCAAATTGGAATTTTGAGTTCGGAGGCCATTGTGATGACGTCATGAGTTAATTGAGGGTCGAATGAGACATGAAACAATATCTCCGAATCATACTCTATTAAAATATGAAAACAAATTGGGGTCACCTTGCATCCTAAAGAGCTACAATGGATTTTGTATAGGCATGTTTTTGCCCATATTTGCTATGTATTACAAGAGCTCGCGCGCACGGAAATTTTTGTTAAACGGTCGATCAATCCGTTATTAATAGTCATAAAGAGACAAACGTGGTATCAATTTGCTTGTAAATATATGTGGTATATTATGAAAGAAAAAAAAAAGCAATTCAATGTTGTGCAAAAGTTTTACGCGCGAAAACGCGCGCGCATGCTCGTACGCTCGATTTTTTATAAAATGCTTAGAATGGCCTAAAACGTATGCAAAATGATTTTCAGACGATTTTGAGCATTTCAAAATTTTGCGCGCGCATTGACGCGCGGACGTACGCGCAGGTGCGCGTTATTTGACCTTTTATTGACCGGACGGATATTGACCTTGATCATGATAAATATGAACGAGAAATACCTTTTGGTTATGAAGATATGATCATGAGTTGATTTTCGTAAAATTTTACAAAATGGCGCCTAGATGACGTCATCAGTGAAGGTCAATGTTGAAAACGTTATTGTGCTTTGTACATATGTCTATACATATGTGTGCCAAATTTCTAGGCATTTGATTGAGCCATTTCCAAGTAATTTTGTTCACAAAAAAGTGGTTAGAAATAAGAACTAGATTTGTAATACTTGTTTGGAACAAGTATAGGTGGGCTGATCCAACAAAAAATTGAGACAAAATAAAGGGTACATTTGAGATAGCTTTTTGTCTCATCTACAACATACTCGAAGTTCAGCGTAAACGAAGCTAAAACGACGTAGATATTGCTCGCGAAAGACGGGAATGTAGAATAGAGTTTTGAGAAAAAGTCATATACCATAGAGAATACACGCAAAATGTAAAAAATTTACATGCCTCCTTTAATCGCAAAAATACGCCATGCCTTTGTCAAAATGAAAAATAATAGCAATTGCCTTTGTAGAGAATTGTCTCAGCTAGAACATATCAAAATTTGGAAGAAAATCAATCAATATTTACAGAGATACAATCAATTTTCCATAAATATGCTGACGTCATAATATGCAAATTGGAATTTTGAGTTCGGAGGCCATTGTGATGACGTCATGAGTTAATTGAGGGTCGAATGAGACATGAAACAATATCTCCGAATCATACTCTATTAAAATATGAAAACAAATTGGGGTCACCTTGCATCCTAAAGAGCTACAATGGATTTTGTATAGGCATGTTTTTGCCCATATTTGCTATGTATTACAAGAGCTCGCGCGCACGGAAATTTTTGTTAAACGGTCGATCAATCCGTTATTAATAGTCATAAAGAGACAAACGTGGTATCAATTTGTTTGTAAATATATGTGGTATATTATGAAAGAAAAAAAAAAGCAATTCAATGTTGTGCAAAAGTTTTACGCGCGAAAACGCGCGCGCATGCTCGTACGCGCGATTTTTTATAAAATGCTTAGAATGGCCTAAAACGTATGCAAAATGATTTTCAGACGATTTTGAGCATTTCAAAATTTTGCGCGCGCATTGACGCGCGGACGTACGCGCAGGCGCGCGTTATTTGACCTTTTATTGACCGGACGGATATTGACCTTGATCATGATAAATATGAACGAGAAATACCTTTTGGTTATGAAGATATGATCATGAGTTGATTTTCGTAAAATTTTACAAAATGGCGCCTAGATGACGTCATCAGTGAAGGTCAATGTTGAAAACGTTATTGTGCTTTGTACATATGTCTATACATATGTGTGCCAAATTTCTAGGCATTTGATTGAGCCATTTCCAAGTTATCTTGTTCACAAAAAAGTGGTTAGAAATAAGAAAAATATATAATAAAGGCAATTCTAACGAAATTATAAGGTGGTCTGTACGTTATACAGCCCACCTGAAAATATATAATAAACTAGATTTGTAATACTTGTTTGGTACAAGTATAGGTGGGCTGGTCCAGCTAACATTTTAGACAAAATGAAGGGCACATTTGAGAAAGCTTTTTGTCTCAGCTACATCATACTCGAAGTTCAGCGTAAATGAAGCTAAAATGACGTAGATGTTGCCCGCGAAAGACGGGAATGTAGAATCGAGTTTTGAGAAAAAGTCATGTCCCATAGAGAATACACGCAAAATGTGAAAAATTGACATGCCTCCTTTAATCGCAAAAATACGCCATGATACCTTTGTCAAAATGAAGAATAGTACTGACTGCATTTGTAGAAATTTGTCTCAGCTAGAACATATTAAAATTTGGAAGAAAATTGATCAATATTTACAGAGATACAATCAATTTTCCATAAATATGCTGACGTCATAATATGCAAATTGGAATTTTGAGTTCGGAGGCCATTATGATGACGTCATGAGTTAATTGAGGGTCAAATGAGACATGAAACAATATTTCCGAATCATACTCTTTTAAAATATGAAAACAAATTGGGGTCACCTTGCATCCTAAAGAGCTACA